ATCACAAAAAAAAAAAAAAAATAAAAAAAAAGAAGAAGAAGAAGAAGAAGAAGAGTTTAAGATCCGAAACAAATGGAGGGAGAGAGGGAATATCTCACTAACTACACGAGCATGCATTAAACCAAGCTACATGGTTCGCGTTCAGAAGATAAACTATATAAATTAAGATTCAAAAGCATAAGCAGAACAAACTTACGTACGTGCGCACTGGCACATGACAACAAAAGAAGGGTCCAAAATGTCAATGGCGTAAAGCCCATTATTATTTTGAGGAACTATTATCTCGGTAATATCAACCAGTGGCTCTGTATATACCCTTCCAAAAGAACAAAAGGGACAAGAAAAGAAAAATAAAAATTGCAATCAACACAAGAGTTAATTATGAAGTGTTCGCATGCAATTAAGCTTTTGAAGGAAGTGATTGAATCAGGAAAAAAAAAAAGTCAGAAGCTGAGAATAAAAAAATTTGCAGCTTACACATTAGATGGAAAAAAAATCGTTAATTCGGCACTGATTGATCAATAGTCCTAAGAAAAATCCGGCATAAGCAATCACTAGAAATGAAAATTAATATTGTCCAACGCTAAAATACGCCACCTTATGCCTCAAACAACAACTACGAAGCTCGAAAAACCAAAAAACCATAAGAAATCAAGTATACGGATGGAATTTTGCTGGAATTTTGGTCACATAGTACTCACACTTGATCCTTATGGATTCCACAATTTTTCTGGTAGGTCTCTTAACACGTTTGACTGATTTACGTTAATGTGCGATTAACGTGATCCTTCTTCCAATTCAATGACAACAGATGTAGTCGGATGAATTCAGCTGAGGCCTTTGTCAAGTGTCTTCTGTTAATTACAGTATTTGGTATGTTAATAGGTGATTGGGAGCTCATCTTTCTTGCCAGTTTGTTAATTTGAATACCAGTAATAACTGAAAAACAGTAATAAGTCCTCCTTTTCATTTATCAGGCAGAAATATTCATTTGCAATTGCATCAAAAGAATGTGTGGCTATAAAATGAGAGATTCGATTCTAATATGAACTCTGTCAGAATGGTTTGTGCCTATTTGTGTGATTCAAATGTGGTACAATTGCTTATACGCTTATTTGTTTTGCAATATGCTTTGAATATCACTCTATGTGCATAGTATCCTCTGTGAATGCAAGCATCTTCTGTCTGTACAGAGAGAATAAACAAAGCACCAGTAATCACCAACTGAACCGGCATCTCGCCAGCTGGAAAGCCTCATCCAGGCCCCTGTGCTCTAGCACAAATGAAATGATCCTCACCTCATGGACAAGCATAGAGGTAAAAACTGACAAAGAGTAGTGCAATTTTTTAATTTTATTTTTCCCTAAGAAAAAGTTAATAGAGAAAACAACCAATATCAATAACTGAGGCTACTTTTGCAAACTTATTTTCACATAGGTACCACCTGAATTTGAAGTCATGAACGATAATACCAACACGGGTCATCCAGAAAACTCAGCAGCTGCCAACAACCAACTAGACACTTGCTGGTCCAAAAAATCGAGAAAACTCAAGAAATGGCCTTCGAGCAAGTTGATTGCAAATGGTTTTATTGTTCTTGGTGGTGCTATCTGCCTCTCGAGAGGACATTCGAGCTTGGCTACAAAGGTTGCCACGGCCTATCTATTGACCAAACTTACGAAGCAATGTGCTTCATCTCAGAAAGATTTGTAACGGTGTTCCCCAGGCCGCTGTGGTTTAGCCTGCTCCTCGCCATCTGCCACCGATAACATTGTGGTGCATGAAAAAAAAAAGAAAAAAAGAAGTTTAACGATGGCCTGTAAATATAGATGCTGTGTTAGCTTTAGATTTCGGAAGGAATTGGGAAATTCGTGGCTTTGTTGGAAGTTTGGTTGCATAGTACTCATACTTGATCCTTATGGATCCTATAATTTTGCTAGCAGTCTCTTAAAATGTTTGGTTGATGTACTTTAATGTGCGATTGACGTGATCTTCCAATTGAGTGACTAACAGATGTCGTATACGGATGAATTCGGCTGAGGCCTTTGTCAATTGTGTTCTGTTAAGTACAGTATTTGGTATGTTAATAGGTGATTGAGAGCTGATCTTTCTTGCCACTTTCTCTATCAATGCCTTGTGGTAGTAGAGTAGATTATATGCAGGCAGTTTCACTCTGTTTCATCGATAATGCTGATAATATTTTTCATGGACAGTTTTTCAGATACTGATGCTCGTTTTGCCTTTTGAATTTCGTTCCTTACAATCTTACCAAGTATTTTAACTCTATTTATTTCCTTCAAGTATTTATCAACTGTGTGTGTGAGAGACAGAAAGTAGTAATGAAAAAAGTTCAAGTGATGACCCTCCTCAAATATCGCTTCATGCATACTCTCATTCTCCATGCAACTCAAGGATCAAATTTAAATCATATACCAACAAAAATGAAGGCAATACAGTAACACAACACACATCATATTATCCTTTGTACANAACAAAGCACCAGTAATCACCAACTGAACCGGCATCTCAGCCGGCTGGAAAGCCTCATTCGGGTAACACAACTGAACACTATTCATGTTTGTTCGTTTATTTCATGTTTGTTCGTTTATTTTTGGAGTGAAAATCATGCAAGAGATCGTTCATTTAACTGTTCGTCAAAATTCGAGTTCGAATAATTTAGGATACGTACTTTTAAATTTGTTTGGTTAACTCGAAATATGTTCGTTTAAACTCAAAAATTAAAAAACTAAAAATAAAAATATTTTTATATTTTATATTTTCTTATTAAAAATATCATGTAAATATAAAAAAAAAATCAAAATAATAATTGTAAAAATATCATCTGAAAATGGATTGGATCTAGGGTTTTGTGACTTTGAGAGTAGATTCGTACAACATTATTGTAAAAAAGTTGGGACCATTAAGTGGGCCTGCCATCTTGACCCAAAACTTTTACGACACAAATATTATTTTAATATATTTGATTAACTCAAAATTTATTCGTTTAAATTCGAAAATATAAAAATTAAAATAAAAATATTTTATATTTTAGATATTTATTAAAAATATTATGTAAATTTACAAAAAATAAATAAAATTATAATAAATTAATGTTCGGAAACATTATCAAACGTTCGCGAACGAGCTCGTGTTCGTTCGATTATTAAATAAGTTTAATTTTCTGTTCAAATTCAACTCGATTAACAAATGAACGAGCTCGAGCGAGCTTTTGTTCATGAATGTTGGATTTGTTAACAGCCTTGTCCACTAATACAATCGACTATTCGCTATCAATTAATAGCCAACAAGGTCAACATAAATTTTTCATAATGACATTATGAACCATATTTATCAAACTATTTACAAATCATTAATACAATTCATTAGTGAAATCAATTATTAGCTATTAAATCTATTGGTCAAATAATTTGTTACAATCCAATAATGCATATCATCATTCCCTTTTTCATTTGGGAGAATTTAGCCTAAAACAACCAATCAATAATAGAGGCTACTTTTGCTGTACAACGAATTAGGTATGATAGATTTGGTCATTGTGGGTCAAGGTGCCAGCCAGGCCTATTTAAATGGTCCCAACTTTCTTACAATAATGCTTATACGGTACCTACTCAAAAGTCTCAAACACCAGATCCAATATATCATTTGCATTTCATCTGAATTTCATTTTCTTCTTCACCACAAATAAGCATTTGAGAAAAATCTTCCTTACAAAAGCTGATTGAACTTCACTTCACCAACAGGGGATCCATGGCAGCTTATGGAACTCTGCTTTCTCTTACAAACACTATAGACCAAATTCAAAATCACCCTCGCCCACCCATCTCCCTCGACAAACTGCATATCGAACCTCTAATAGAAAAGGTTGCTTTCTTACAAAATTTTCTCGAAAACTATCTTAGTGATGATGCAAATGGATTGGAGGGGCGTATGATTGATGTGGCTCACAAGGCGGAGGACATTATCGAGTCCCACATCGTCGATCATTTTGAGAATGAATATTTGTATCGATATATAAAGAAAATGAAGGTGGAATACGATGCGTCTCACGAGGCTCGTGGTGGAGCTAACATCAGTTGGAACGATGACAATGAGTCTTTGTATGGAGAGCTACATAAAGTGATGGCCGATTTGGATTCCATCACAAAAGACGTGGCTGCTGTTAAAGAGAAGGCGGGGAAAAAATTTGCCACGGAAGATTACGCCACATTGAGCTCCGATGATGTCATGAATGACATCATGGATAAGCTGAACAATAGTCCTTGTCCGGAGGGGGACGACACGAACACGATGGCGGGTGTCATGAAAGACATCATGGGTATGCTGACCGATCAACAATCCAGTCGTCGGATCATCGTGGTTGCCGGCATGGGTGGCATTGGTAAGACCACTCTTGCAAAAAGTATTTACAAACATCCAACTATTGTGCACCACTTTGATAAATATCGCGGATGGGCTACAGTCTCTCAAGAATTTGATCCCAAAAGGATTTTGTTACAAGTCCTTAGTTGTTTCGAAATCATTGGGAACGAGGACAGCGAACATGAAGAATTAGGACAAATACTGTATAAGAGCTTGTTCGGGCAACGGTATCTGATTGTGATGGATGACATTTGGGGTACGGACGCGTGGGATGGGGTGAAGCGCTTCTTTCCCAATAACAACGATGGGAGCAAAGTGTTGATAACCACTAGGCTATCAAATGTGGCTTTGCAGCTGGGCGTGGATGGCCCAGAGTACTTTCAGATGAGGTTTCTGAGTCAGAATGAAAGTTGGAATCTGCTGCGTAGGTGCGTGTTTGGGGAGCAAGGGTGCCCTCCGGAACTGGAAGAGATTGGGAAGGACATTGCCAAAAAATGCAGAGGCCTTCCATTGTCAATTGTGGTGATTGGAGAACTCCTAGCAAAGTCTGAACAGACACAGGAAAACTGGAAACACATTGCAGAAAGTGTAAGCTCGATAGCGGATGACGAGCGTTGCTTCAGAATATTGCAGTTGAGCTACAATAAACTTCCGGTCCACCTGAAGCCGTGTTTTCTCTACACGGCCATGTTCCGGGAGGACTGCGAGATTGAAGTCCCCACGCTCATGAAGCTATGGATTGATGAAGGATTCGTGAAACCAGACGCGATTGAAAGTCTGGAAGAAGTTGCCAGATTGTATCTACATGATCTCGTTTTCCGAAACCTAATCTTGGTTCGCGAGTTGGGCCCTACTCGAAGAATAAAACGGTGTGCCATCCACGATCTCCTGAGAAATCTATGCATAAAAGAAGCCAAGAAATACAAATTCTTTCACACGATGGAAACAACGCACAACAACCCGGAGCATCACGACCAAATTAGCTGGAGCACCCAACGTCGAATCGGCATTCACGAAGACGCATCAGAGGGGGAATACATTCCGCGTCCACTCCCCGAAGCTCTGCAATCCACATCACGAGCACGAACTCTGATAGGGAACTTACCGTCTGTTGTTCCCTTTAGATTGCTGAGGATTCTGAATGGCTCTGTTCACAGGCATGGACAAGAATTTTTTCTTCCTGTTAACTTGTGCCACCTGACAACCCCAGTGGTTCAATTTCCTGTGGAGTTTTTTTATCGACTCTGGAATGTACGGACGTTAATAGTTGGTTTGGGCCCGTCCCCGCTGGACAATAATGCGCCGGCGGTGCTGGACATCTGGCGGATGCCCCAACTCAGGCACGTCAAGGTAGCCTGGGGATTCCGGCTCACGGATCCTCCTCACGAAAATTGTTGGATGGTGTTGGAGAATCTAGAGACGCTCAAGACCGTGTGGAACATGAAGTTAGGTGGAAAAGTGGTTGAGAGTATCCCCAATATCAAGAAGCTGAGAATACAATACTTTAAACAACTTTATTTGGCCGAGTTAACAGCAATTGCTGATTATGGCCTCAACAACCTCAGGCAGCTAAGCAGGCTGGAGGCCTTTTCATGCACTTCATTTCCCCTAGGACTAATTAAGCCGACATTCCCGTATTCGCTCAGGAAGCTGACTCTGGGAGGCACGTACCTCAGGTGGAAGGATATGGCAACAAAGATAGGCTCGTTGCCATATCTCGAGGCCCTCGAGCTAGAGGATCATTCATTCGTGGGGACCGATTGGGAAACTGCCGAGGGTGAATTCCGGAGCCTCATATACTTGAAAATCAAGCGGTGCTTTGATCTGAAGCAGTGGAGCCTGAAATACTTGGCAATTACACAGGACAAGCACTTCCCGCGCCTCGAGCGGCTCCACCTAGTGGATCTATACAGTCTCAAGGAGATTCCATTGGGAATTGCGGATATACACACGCTTAGGGAGATCAGTGTGGATAAATGTCAGGAGTCAGTCGTGCATTCTGCAAAGAAGATATTAGAGGAACAAAAGGCGTGTAATGGGGAGGTGGAGCTTCAGATCAGAGTTTGTCTAATCCATAACACCCTTCTTCGAAACGAGAGCTTCGATAGTTCCAACTTTACATTTTATGAGTCTGGTCAGTGAAAGGTATTATTTATGTTTTTAATATGGTTTTTTTTAGCCAGCTTTTGGTCGGTGAGGAATCCGACTCCGCCATGCTATCTGCAAAGATTGAAGCCAACTCGTCTTTTACTTACATCCCTCTTATATATATTTTTCGGAATGTGGTAATACTTCGAGATCCTACGTGGCAAAACTCCATGATTCATTATTTGGCTTTGATAGATTTTAATTTACTTCCACTCCAAAAATAATAATTAGGTCTGAATTGTCATGTTACATGTATTGATTGCATTTTAATATCATTTATATTTATATCTATATAATGGACAAATCCTTATTGTCATAATTGGTATAATTTTGGACGAAAATTTTTTTCGTCTATATTTGACCTTTAATTAATATTTATTTATTAGCAAATCTTATGCATGAAAAATATAATTGATTTTTATACACTCAATGACTATTACTCATTAACTACAAATTGGCTTAAATTGAAATTTTGACCCTAGATTTATTATATATATTTTTAATAAGATCTTATATTAAATTAATAGTAATTTAGTGACACAATTCAAGTTATAGAAATTGATTTGATTAAATATATTATCATCTATTGTTGTAGGTATCAATTTAGTTAATTATATTCACTATTTAGAAGTACTTAAAATATTTAATAAAATAATCATAATAATTATGTTTAAATCATAATAACTTAATAAATAATTTAAAATATTAATGAAAATTTCTAAAATGTAGTCAATTTAACTATAAAAAGGTACATCCCAATTGAATGTGATAATACAATTGAAAATTTAAATAATATACTAATAAAATAAAATTTGATAGTCGGGTACAATTCAGAATTACAAATTTCACCTTAGAAGTGTCTATGTACATTAAAAAACTATTCACTTTTTAAAAATATATTTTTTTCTTATATACTATTTTATAAATGAAAAATAATTAATAAAAAAGCAATGTATAATAATTTAAATTATAGCACTTGGTAATTATGGAAATATATGTTCGAATAGATTCTTTATAACTCAATATATAGGTTGAAAAAATAAATTAAAGAAATAAATATAAATAAATAATGAAAATATAAAAATAAAATATTTAACCATAAAAGAATTGTGTGTTGCACAAGGATTAAAGTTAATAAAAATTTAAAGTTATTTATCAAAGTTTTTAACATTTAATGCAATTAATAATTATAGCAGAAATGGGTTAAACGTTGGTCAAGTATCAAGCAATGTGCAAATTATGAATTGTTAAAAAAATTATAAGACTATGATAAACGACAATTTTATAAGTACATACAAGTAATTTGTATGCAAATAGCATATGATCTTATATATTTATAATATTTTATAAACTTCTAAATAATAAAATTTGTAAATTTAAATAGTCAAAAACTACAAAACTAAAAATATATAAAATTAGAAATTAACAATAATAGTAAATAAATAAATGTTATATTACTACTGAATAGAACATTGTGGAGAATATAATTTCATATTGTCTTAATAATATTATAATATTTAAATAAAAAATATTTTTGTATTGCACCTCGTGCATGGCACGGGTATCACCAGTAGTTTCTTATTATGAATATTAAAATGTAAATATATTTTAAAAGATAATAACTTTTGTATTTTTTATTAGTTATGGTCATATTAATCATCTCTTGATGATCTTTGATTTACATTCTTATTGTATGTATAAATAAATAAATTATATTTATATTTATAACAATAATAAAATTATTTGTTAATATTAATTAGAAAATAAAATTATTTATCGGTTAATATTTATGTTTGAAGTGGTTATATGATATAAGTTAGAAAAATTATTATAATATAACACATATAAGTCGCACAAGTAACAAATGTCATTCTAAAATAGATAATAATATATATCTTTTGTAAAAAAAGTATTTAAATTTTAAAATATTTTTTTCATTAATTTTATAATTAAAACATAGTTTTTCTAACAAGCATCCGTGTATTACACGGGTGTTGTACTAGTAATATGATACTTCCATGTCAAGTTTGGTATGTGAAATATCCTTTTTCTTTTTATTAGTATTATTATTATTATTGCTAGTGCATAATCCGTGCTATACACAAAACAATATTAATAAATTGAATAGGAAATAAATATTTATTAGCATAAAAATTAATTTGAATATTAACATCAGTTTAATGTGATTTATATTTGATATTTACCTTTTATATAATAGATGTCATTTTATAGATTTTGTTTAAAATTGATGAGCATGTAAGTCTTATATATTCAAACATTATCAATAAATAATATTCACAAAAAATGATTCTCACGTTTACCTTACTCATAATTTATTATAATATATTATTCGATTCTTGAATAAATTACAATAAAGTCAAATTTGTGCCAAATATTATAATTGATACTAAATTTAGAAAGAATGTAGTGTGTATTATTTTAAAATTATAACATTTACTAACTTTTAATTATGTATTTAACAAAATTATTTTTTAAATAGTAACTATTTCTCGCCAAAAAAATATTGTTTACTAAATCTGGAAACTATTTAAATATTTTATGGTATGTTTTAAAGGTACAATTTAGGTAATTGCGGCTGATTTATTAAGGTAATAAATCACATAATTTTTTTGTATCTCAAGATATTCATATCATATATTTGTATGTACATATATACCGTATATTTGTACCTAAAATACCGGGATATATATCTGTTGCATCAATTGTCTTTCGAATTTGTTGATATCAGAGTTCGCCCATGAGACTGAATCAGACCACTCAATTCCGAGAGCCGAACCAGAGACCCGGTCCACCCATAAGGTGCCGAGCTGGACCGGAAAACCTTTTGACCCTGACATCGCCGTGAGACCATTCGTCAGTTCGGTATCTTCAATTACGACGCCACGGGTGCCGGGCTGAGAAATGACGGACTGAAAGAAAGATTCCCCAGGACCAAGGGAACAGATGAAAGTTAGATGCCGAGGTGCCGACTTGGGGTCCCAGAGCGGGTCTCTATGACGGAGGATGCCGGTCTCTATAATGGTATAATAATGCCACTTGGAGGGTAATCATGGGCTAAATGGATGGGACATCATAGCCTGCAGACCTACTCCTCCTAGCTAAGATATAAAGTCTGTCAGCATTAAATGCCTGCCACCTAATGATGAGGAAAACCTCAAATCGCATTTAATGCTGTCAGAGAAGCGCCGGACTGTCCCGCAGAAACACTGTACGACAAGACGGATGAACAGTATCTGAACAGTGCCACATTAATGGCTACTATAAATAGCAACCCTTCTCATTTATTTTGGGTTGTTGAAACTCAACTGTAATAGCTATCTCTCTACTTTCTCTCTCTAAAAATCGCGTAATTACTCTGTAACGATTTGTAAGGATATTGCAAGTGCCGACCTCGAACGAGAGGCCGACCTAGCGATCAGTCAATAAACTGCAATTAAACCGTATTTTCCTGTCTCTACATTATTTCCTTTTTCATTATTTATCTTTTTAACCGTTGACCGGAAACGCCCGTCAACAGTTTGGCGCTAGAAGAAGGGCATCATAAGTTATTTGGTGTCTACTTTTCGATCTTGTAAAACTCCACACCACGCTCATCTTTTTCCCACTTTTTCGCTTTTTAAAACCACCAGAAATGCCTTCATCTGGACATGACGATTCCACCCAGCAGTCCGGCTCCCAGCCTCGCCGCCGCAATGGCG